AGAGGTGAACTGACTGAACCCCCATTCCCTGTCCCCTGTGCTGCTGGGAAGGGAAGGTAGAGAAATCTGGAGCAAAGTGATTAGAGCCCGGGAAGAAGGGAGGGGTGGGGGAAAGGTGTTGTAAGATGTGGTTGCTATGTCTAGTTAGATGAATGGCAACAAATTAAATTGATTTTTCTTCCTCAAGTTTGAGTCTGTTTTGCCCGAGACTATAACTGGTGAGTGAGCTGTCCTAATCCCATGCCCCCTTTTTTGGGTCTCCCATCCCATCTCACTAGTTGGGGTGGGGGGGTGAGTGCAGGACCACATGGTCCTACTGTGGGTCAAACCACCACAGTGTGGCAACAAGACTAATGCGCTCCTTGTCCAGGCCTCTGCAGAATTGCAAAATCACACTACAGCATTTGTTGCTAGTGTTTGCCAAGCTGGTGTCAAGATGTCAAGTCTAGACCCAGAGCTAATCCCAAAGTTCTTCCAAATAGTCTATAATTTTAACTTCTTCTAGCTCTTCCAACATTGATTTTTCGCCCCCTCTACAATGACACAGACTGCTGCTCTGAAAAATTAACCTTTGCTCCAAATGATTTTGTCAATAATGCCCCAAAACTGTCAGCATTGGCATCTGTGCAAAAGATCAAAGTTTTCTTAGGCAGCAAAGAATAGGAATGGTCATGAGACCCCCCAGCCATTTCTAACCATGCTAAACCACACTCTTGCAATTACTGGAACTATTTTTTCTACCTGATCCAATTTAACAGGTTTTCAATATGGAAAGCACAAATAAACAAAACTTGGAACTTTTTCTCTACCCATGTTGAATCACAGTCATTTCTACCAGTTACTGCTCCTCAGCTGCAGGCAGCAATCAAGGAATGCTCCGCTCCTACTTCCCAGCCACAAGAATTTTAGCAGCTACAAGCGTTGGCTTATGTGACTCTGCTCCCAAACACATTTTTACAGTTTGGCTCATAAATGTAAACACACATCTTTCATATATCACTCAGCCAGCACCGCTGCAGCAACAGCAGCTTCTGAGAGAGAGGCAAAGCATAAAACTGAAGAC